GACGATCGGGGCGGATGTGGACCGACCAGCAAGAAGCGGCGACATGGGTGACAAGTGAGAGGAAGTACACGCCGCAAAGCCTTCCACAATGTGGATTCTGCCGACCTTAACTGCTAGGTGGAAAAAGGTGCTCCAAAAAAAAACCCTAAACCCTAAACCCTAAACCCTAAACCCTAAACCCTAAACCCTAAACCCTAAATATGTGTCTTATGGTGAAGCTTGTTGCTTCAACCCCTGGGCCTCCGAAACTACAGCCCTGCTCGCAGCTGGATTTGGGCTTCGCCGTAGGGTCCTTTTGGGGTCTACTTTCAGGTCCCTGATTTTCCTTAGTTCCTTGGGGAAGGGATCTGATCGTTTTCGGTTTTGAGAGCCGTTCTTCTTTGGCATCGAGCCGGCGATTGTTTCACCACAGGGGCTCATGGTATGAGTCTGCTTCGTGATTTGGGTGTAGGCTGTCGCCCAGCGAAGTGCTTGCGCCAACAACAGTGCCGCCTAAACCCTAAGCCAACAGCCCACGAACCCTTAGCTAAACTTCAGCTTCTTTTGACCCGTAAGCCTACACCATGAACATCTCCGTGCACTCGGAGAAGATCGTCTGTCACGCGGTCGCCCAACAACCATGTATATAAATCCTGGTAAAACACATGTGAAACCTTATAAAGGCATCGTACATAGAACCCCTCCCCACCATGGCTCCAACCGAGGCAGATGCTCGCCGATGGTCTGGCTGACCAGCTGCGTGCCGAGGCTCTTTCAAGTACTACGAAGCTCCGAGTGAACCTTGTAGCCAGCATCCTGAAACCCCTAGTGAAAGCAGAGATACAAATCGCGTGAGTAAGCAGCGCTTAATGAGCGGATGAGGAATAGGTCACAGGAAGACAGATAGATCTGTAAATGTCTAGCCAACGCTCCAGAACCCACGCAGTAACTGAAAGCTACATCCCGTTACATGGAAGGACTGCGGTCGCGTGCGGTCTTCGCTTGAGCTCCCGAGACTCCGTTGTCAGATGCCATCCTCACGCCGTGAGTCTCTGGCTTGCCAGGACATCCCCGTCTTCGGGCCAAGCAAGGCGGCCGCACAAATCGAAGCGTCCAAGGCCTTCGCCAAGGCAGGGGCATGTTGGTGTTATGGTGTTCATGAGCAGTGTGTAATGTCGACTCTCGCTGGCGATTGTGGTGGTGGTGATGGTGGTGATGCTGGTGATGGTGGCAGTGGCGGCGGTGGCGGTGGTGGTGCCGGTGGTGATGAGAGGATGATAGTAATGAGCATGGCAATGATGGTCATGAGCTTCTTGTGTGATAGTGGCAGTGGTGGTGATGCTGGTGGTGGAGATGGTTGTGTCAATGGGGCGAGAAGCTAAGTTGCCCCTTGCCCCTGAGTTTCGAGATCCAGTGACTCCCGTATGGAATTCAAGCAAAACTTCGAGGACTTCATGAAGCGCCACAACATCCCGACGGCCGAGTATCAGACCTTCTCCGCACGCCTGGGGCCCGGTTGGTTCGGAGGATCGGAGGGTTTTGTGTTGAGTTCCGTAGGTGCCTGATCCCACAAGCTTCTGGGTAGCAAACGAGGAAGACTCTCCAATTAGTGCATGCGGTGTGACATCACAAAATCTTGTGTCGCAGAAAGTCAATCCCAAGGATCGCGCGAGTGAAGCTCCACAAAGCCATGGTGCATCCGCCCTCCAACGCCCTGAGTCCTCAGCCTCGTGACCCGGAACATCAGCTCCAAACGCTAAGACCCTAAAGCCCAAGCCCTAAATCCAAAATTTAACTATCTCAGAAAATGGGGGCGTGGAAGCCGCGCTGAAGTACATCGACTCGGTTCCCTTCGATGTTGTCGTCAAGGCACGGCCACTTTATGAAGAGGTTTTTGTGGAATCTGACAGAGCTCTCCGGCCGGGTTCGGTGCTACAGTTTAAGATATCAACTTCATCATCCACTGCGACGACTTTACTGCCACGTCTCCTCCTCCTCCTACGAAACCCTAAACCCTAAACCCTAAATCCTAAACCCTCCCACTCGTCCTCGTCCTCTTTCAGAAGACTGCTCACCCTCAGGCCAGCGGCCTCGCGGCTGGCAAGGGTGTGGCCTTGCCCCGAGGGTCAACTCTAGGGCCTCTAGGGTCTCGAGGGCTGGACTTTGGCTTAAGGCGGTCAAGGGTAGACTGTGCGGCTTTTGCCATCACGGTCTGCAGGGTTTTCCGTGTGTGGTGCGGGCCCTTGGACCGTCCGCTTGTCAAGGCTGCAAAACAACATCTAGAATCATGTAGCACGAACAAAGCGCACGTGAGTCCGACCTGTGACGTTGGAAGGCAAGCTGTTACAGCCACACAAAAAGTTTCTGAACCGGGCTGTAAAGTATGGAGAATGATGTGGCCAAATCCAAAACGCACCCGGGTGCGGTATGGGTTTTGCTATATGAACACCATGGTGCAACTACTTGTATACCTTGTTTCACGTAGGCCAAACAGTACATGTGTAAAATTTTGTGGGAAAACGTAGCTCGCACCCGGGTGCGACTTGTACCTGAGCCTCACAGGACAACTGCTCCCTCATGGTTGAGGTTCTTTGGAAAGCATGGCAAGACCAACTGGAGAACAGCGTGGCCACGAGCAAGTCGCACCTGGGTGCGACCTGTGACGTTGGTGGAAAGTAAGCAGCTCTTACAGCCACCAAAAGTACGTTGATGGAAGGCAATATATTGACGGATGGCAAGCTGTTGCAGCCACCAAAGAATAATCTCTGTCACCGCAGACCGCTTGCTTTTGCACGTAAAGTTCTGAGACTCAGCTTTTGGATTTCAATATTTTTCCTTCCATGCTGATGCTGTTATAATGATGAGGTTGTCCCGGAGACTGCCGAAGAGGCCAAGGCCGCCGTGCGCGAGTGCACGCCTGAGGTGGTCGGATTGTGCTAGGATGCGTTTTTGTTGCCAGACTGTGGTTTTCTTTAGGGGCCTCTCCTAGTAAGGATCTCATTGTCCAAGGCTCTATCATGTGCAGGAGGCCTTAAATGTTCCGAGATTCTCAGGTTGGAAGTATGGGCCCCTAATATGGACCCTTAGGCTTTTCTTGGGACCCTTGAGGGTACATATAGGGTATTTAGTAGGTGTTTAAGGATCCCAGGGTTAAGGGCCCATAGTAGGGGCCCATGGGTTCAAACTTAGAGAGATTTCTTTGGCCGCAGCTGTAGTATAGGAAAAGTAACGGGTAAGTCTTCTCGGAAGCTTCAGTACTTCTCAGCCCCAATCCCGAGCCCTGGAGGGCAAAAGTCGCTTAAAGACCTCTGGCCCATCCTGAGACCCGAGGGGGGGGGGGGGGGGG